CGCCGGGGAGCGGCCGGGGAACCGCTGCGGGGTTGGCCGAGGGAGGCCGGGAGGGGCGGCCGGGGGCGCCTCGGGGCGGTGGTCCGCGAAGCGGGGCTGGGCTGCCGGCGAGCCGAGGCCCAGGCCTGCGGTCTCCGGGCGAGGGAGGCGGTAGAGAAGGGCGCCCGGTGCGACCCTCCGCTCCTGCCCAGGGTGGAGGAGTTGCCCCGGCGACCCTGGGCGGGGAGAGTCCGGGCGCCGCGGAGGCCGCCGGGTGCGTGGTATGGAAGGGCGTGCAGCCCTCGGGCGGGGTGGGTGCATCCTTCCTGTCTCGGAAGACCGCCTGGGATTTTCAAGGCCGGGCCTGCTCGCTGCCTGGACGAGAACTTTAAGTTTCACTCAAGTTTGTAGACAAAAGGGTGCAAATGCGCTATAGAAGTGTAACTGTAACCCTGACCCACTTGGGCCGCAGAGTCCCTCATGTGCTGCTGCAGTTGCAGCTCAAGGTTTGGAGTTTGCTTGTGATGTTTGAAAGGGAGCAGGTGTCAAACGGCACTAAACGAACATATTTAGATTTTTTAAGCTCCACTTTCAGAAATAGAAAAACGTGCCAGAGTTGGTTAGCCAAGGCCTGCAATAGAGTAGCAGGCAGGGCAGCATGAAGTCATGTTGAGGTTGTAGGCGCCCAGCTTGAAGCAGTTTTAGTTGAGAAATGCCTGTTCCCTAATCTGGAGTTTTGTTTGGAGTGTTTGTTCCTAGATAGGACTCGGGAAGGGGTGCTTTTTGTAGGGTTGACAGAAGATGTGATGAGAGCCTCCCAGAGTAATTAAAGCTAAGAAAATATGTCTGTTCTGTGTACAAGAAAAAACCTACACCACTACTCTTCAAATGATTGACCTATTTATTTGATTGGCTATTCAGAAACTTAACTAGACTTTATAATCTTTTTAACCAATGCCCAAAGTTTTGAAACATGCTTTTCAAACATGAGATTTATCATACATCCGAGAATGAAGTGGAATTTTTATTCATAATTTTAAAAAATGGCTATTTAATCTTAGATCCTTCGGGTCGGCCATACTCCTCAGCATCTCACACTTCTTAATAGCCATTGTTCAGTACTACGAAGGGCCTTGGAAGGTGAACACTTGTCAGTGGCACACACTTGTCCTTAACAGAAGTGAAAACATTATTTGTGATCAGTTTTTAAAAAGACCTTTTTTGTTCTGTGAGCATGCCTTGACGCAGGTGTGCAGATCAGAGGACAGCTTGAGACAGTTGGTTCTGTGCTACCACGTGGGTCTGCCAGATCCTACTCTAGTCCTTAGACTCCAAGGCAGGCTCTCTTACCCCTTGAGTCATTTTATAGACTCTGACAGCAGTTTTTGTTCTTGTAACCTTAATACAATCTCTTGGTTTTGTTTTGTTTTTAACACATCTTTGTGAAGCAACTAGGACATCATAATTTAGAAGTAGGTCCCAGATCTTTTAGAACATTGTAAAAACCATGTTTAGCAGATTCAGTGATTTTGTCTTTCCTTAATTTTCTGAGTATACATTGTCATCTGAATGAAAAATTTTCAACGTGGCAAATTTTATTTTAGCCTCATAAATTTTGTGAAAATCCAAAAATGCCAGGATATTTACTCAGCCAAATAAGATGTTACATTTGTAAGAACAAGTCCATGTTTGGGGGGCAGTGCAGATGGTACTTGGTTTCTGTTTATTCCTTTCATTTGTGTTGGGGGAGCTGGTTTGGCACTCACTATGTAGACCAGGCTGGTCTCAGTCTCACAGAGATCAACCTCCCCAGTGCTGGGATTAAAGGTGAGCATCACCACCATGCCCGGCTGCTAGCCAGCATTTCAGCCTCTGTTGCTTGGTAGGTACGGGTGGGAGGGAAGGGTCATCTCTAGGAAGAGGTCACATCACGAACAAGGTCTGGAAGTGTGTGCTTAGAAAGCGCAGGCCATGTGGAGAGACTGCAAGCGGGTGGTTTAAGAGCAGGGGAGCTGGTGGGCTGGGAAAGGCAAGGCATTGCTGGGAGCGGTGGGGGGAAGGGGCCAGGCAGGCTGCAGAAGGCACAAAATGGCATGCTGAGGCATTTGGAAATAAAGAACTAGAGTCAAGTTTTGTTTTGTTTGGTGGAAGGGATTTGTCTAAATGTAGAAACAAGAGGATCAAATATGATTTTGCTTTGTTTCCCAATTTTAGAAAAAGAAATCATAAAGGAGTGATTTCAGTTTCTGTGTTTCAGCTTACAGAAACACTGCTTTTATTGTATCTCTGTGGAATTCCAAACATAGTACAAAAAAAAGTAAGCCAGGAGTATAAGATCCATGGAAAAACAAAACAACAGAAACACCCTGGGAAACAGATTGAGGCCATTTACCTCTTAAACTTGCTCTAAGAACTGTATCTGGCCCTGCCATGGAGGCTCCTAAAACTTGGACTTTCCAGCAAGATTGTCTTTTTGTTACCCATGCTGACCACTGAGCTCACTCTAAGTTTAGTGAAGTACCGTAGGGTGGGGCCCTTGGATAGCCTTAGGGTGGAACTGGTGGCCTGAGAGACCACTTTGGCCATTTGGAACTTTCAGTCCTAATGCTACAACCTCTGGGAAGAGGGGTCTAGTTTGGAGAACACCACCCGTGCCTTGCTGTGTGAACCCCCCCATGGCTGTTTGTTTATACCCTTTGTTTTTCACTTTTACTTATTCTTCATTTATTTTTCCATCATTGGAAATGGAATTTAGGGCCTCAGCCTTGCTAGGCCAACAGTATGTTTCTGCCTCTCTGTTCCCAGCCCCTCCTCACCTGTATCCTTTGTGATACCTTACTTTATATGTTTGCTTTTGCTTGAGATTGGGTACCTGAGGATGACCTTGAGCTCCTGGTCCTCCTACCTTAGCCTCCCCAGGGCATCTGCTTCTACCTTCAGAGCGTGAGATGCCCCTCGCCTGCCTGTATTACCTTTTATAGTAAATCCTTAAGGTATTTCCTAGGGGAGGGTAGTGGGAGCTGCTGATTGCAAGTGCGGATGACGGCTTACTGCTTGTGAGTGACCTCGGAATAATACAGCTTACTGCTTGTGAGTGACCTCAGAAGTAGGGACTGTGTTGTGAGACTGAGCCTTTAGCCTTCAGATTTAACTTCAGGTCAAAAGTGTCAAAACTGAATTTCAAGTACACCCAAGTTGCTGTCCACTGGAGATCTGCTTGCTGAGGGAAGAGACCCATACAGCTAATCACCTCAGCCTTTGGGCAGTTTTTTCTTTTTTCTTTCTTTCTTTTTTTAATAAGAAACCATGAATGTTTTAAAAAACAGGCTTGTTTTTTTCATAAAATGGTTAAAATGGCAGTGAAGGTCTGGTTGTTTTTGGAACACAAATCTGAATAACACCCAATCCAGTTCCCTGATTTTTACAGGTAAAGTGGAGATCCAGAAAGGTTAAGTAGATTCAGTTTTCACCAATTCCTGGGGGAGGAGCAGTTTGTCTTTTGTTATTGTAGTATGTTTAGGAATAGAACAGAACTGAGCAAACCCTAGGTGTTCACTAAACATTTATTAAATGAACACCAGTTCTTCTAATGTCAGATCTCTCTTAATAGAATACTGAGTTGCCACACTAGCCTCAAATTCACTGTGTAGCCGAAGTTGGCCTTGAATTCCTGATCTTCCTGCCTACTTCCCAAGTACTGAGATTACAGGTGTATACCACTAGGCACACCTGCAGTAGAGAATGAAGAGACAGAAAACAGTCTTCATTATCGCTTTTACTAGTTTTCTAAGGTTAACTACTAGCATGTTTCCCTCACACATACAGTTTGATGTCATTGTGTCTGTGAAATCTTTTTTTGACCTCCTTGGAGTTAGATTTCACCAGCTTTTTTGAGGAACACATGGACTTTTAGAATTATTTGTATTTCCGTATGAAATACTAGTTGAATGTTTTTCAGTTTTAACTCTGCTTTTTGACATTTCTTCCAAAGCTGAGTTGTTAAGCATAGGATGGCTATGTGAATAGACTGATGATGGTATAACTCCAGAATCACTTCTAACTAACTTGACTGGAAGGGGTTTCTGGGAAGAGGCCTTTTAGACACCCAAATTTAAGAATGTACCATTGCACTTTCCCAGAATGGTGCCACTGGCAGTTTATATTTTAATTGTCAAAATGCAAGAGAGATGGGCATGTATGGGAGTCCCCAGAATAGACAGGCTCACCTAAAGATACTAACCTATCAGCTTTGAGAGCTCATGCAGAGTTGAAAGGGTTGCAGCTCTCTCCCAGCGGTCCGCTGAAGTAAGTTCTTTTGGTCAGCGCAGCACCTGTGTCTTAGGTGTCTAGTCTGCCTTTGTAGCTGCTCAGAAGCACAGGTCCTCATGCAAACACTCCTCTGGTGTTAGTGTGACAGTCTGAATGCATAGTTTCTTTCCTTCCAAGCTGTGGAGTAGAAATCTGAAGAACTTCACTCTGTGTCTAAGTGTGTATCTTTTATCTGGGCTTATATAGTTTTCATTATGTGTACAGCCGTAAGCATGTGCAGTGCCTTTTCATACGTCCCCCTCTGGTTTCTGAGTTTATAGCTATAGTAAGTTTTTGTGAGCCACATTCATTGTTATTAGCAATATTTCCGCTAACTTCCTCCTTTTGATGCCTCCATAAATCATGATCTGTGATGCTGAAGACACTGATGTGGAACAGTCTTCAGTGAGCATTCCTAGAAGTGGGGCATGTTCCTAGTCAGTCTGCACTGCAGCATGATAGAGCAGTATCAGTCCTGGAGATGGCATTCAAGATTGCCCAGAAGGTTTAAAACGGTTGATTCAGTCCAAGCATTGTGCAGAAAACTACTTAACATCTCTGAGCTTCAGCGTTTAATGATACCTTCCTTGTAGAATTGAGAGGATTGCATTAAATGAGGTTCTATTTTTAAAATACCCAGTCCTAGCTGAGGGTGGTGGCCCACACCTTTAATCCTGGTACTCAGGAGGCAGAGGCAGGAGGATGTCTGTGAGATCAAGTCCAGCCTGGTCTACATAGCGAGTTCCAGGCCAGCCTGGGCTATAGGGAGACCCTGTCTCAAAACAAACAAGAATTGGCCTGGTTTTCACCGGAATTGGAGAATTTGAAAGATTTCTGATAGAGATAAGAGCCTTGCAGAGATTGAGAGGTGGGAACCGCGGCTTGACAGCAAGGATCAAGAAGTCTGTGCCTGGAGCAGGGCTTCTCAGCCCCTGCCTGCCACTGTTTCTATTGGCATTCTTGAAA